TTCTACGATGTGGGACTCAGCATGAATCTTGCAAAGGCGCTCTCTCAACTCAGAGTTTTGGGCTAAGGCCTGGAAAAATAACCAGTGTAAACGTTGTTTATAGCATACACCTAATCAATAATGTCTTGAATACTGGTAGCTGAACTGAATTTCTTGTCTTAAATCAACCCTGCACTGATTTCTCTCTCTGAAATGTGTTTTCTCGCAGTTAAATTATCTCAAAGTCAGGCTGTAAGCACACCATTTACTTTACTACAGAGAGAGTACTACAGACACGGTACTGGAAACCAAACTATAGCAAACTATATTACTCACCTATTACTGACACTATGTGGGGTGGAGTAGGTAGAAGCTGAGTAATCAGGAAGACAATCTAACACCCAGCAGGGTATTTAAAGTAAAAAAAAAAATGTGTTGGTGTATAGAGCACACAAGTTCTAATGTCAGCATGACAATGACCGCATATAACCAAAGACAGAAAAAAGAAAGAGTCTGGGTGGGAGGCAGCAGCTACAGGAAACATGCCTGTTAAACATGGTCTTGTTCAGGTGGGCAGGCAAACACCAGCAGCTAGTTATCCCTTAAAAAGGTTTGCTGAAAGGGAGTATAAAAGACTAACTTAACCTACTGACTGATGAGATTTCTGTCTGTGTATGAGCATGTGTTAATCCACGTACCGTTACCAGTGCGTTCTTCAAACTGACAACCTGTACTGAGGTAGAGGGGCATGTTTCATGGTCCAGACACTGCTTTAATCTCTTGCTCTCAGATGTTAGTGAACTCAGGGCCGACTTCATAGTCTCATGCACTGCAGCAGCAATAGAAAGAAAAGGGAGCTTTAACTGCAAACCAATTTTTATTGATTTCAGAGCAATGCAGAGCCATTCACACTAGATCCATTAACAATCTATCTCACCACAAATTGTAATGAAATGGAAAAAGAGTAACTGCTTGATTATCTCCTATTCGATCAGAGAGCCACAATCTTTGTTTTATGACATTCATTTTACCACGCACTTCATAATCGGTGCTTGAGAAGCTACTTTATTGAAAAGCGCTGGCAAAATTAATGCATCACTGTGTTAGATCAGGCCTATCACACATCCTTAGTTTCATAAACTTGAATGTGCATAAATTTGGCAACTTATATTCCAGTGGAACTGATGGCTGGTCCCTGAAGCAACTTTAAAATTGCAATGCCATTATGTAAAACAAATTGTTCTCATTATTTCATGTTAAGCATCAGGTGTCCGAATTTCCATTTCACTGAGAAGTGGCACCGTGGGGTAGTTGTCTGTTTACAGAAAAGGTTTTCCAGGCTTTGTGTTTTAGAAAATGTAAATTTCTCACTTAGTAAAAGCTGGGGAAATGGTGACAGGGCACATCATCAGAATACTAAATGAATTAAATGTGAGACATACTGTTTGTCAGTAATTTTCAGCAACAACATAATGAGAGCACTTCCTTACTTGCAAATAAGACAGCAGGTGGACAGAGTTATTGGACATAACTGAGATATATGAAAAATGTGTACTTGTAGTAGTTTGTAAAAATATCTTTAAAACTAGTCAGACATTATTAAAATGATGTCACTCACAACTGGTGGCAACGCGGCAGAAGTCTTCCTGCAGCTTGGCCACATTAAAAGGACAATCCAGGGATTCAGGGTCGGCTTTGTCATTGCTGAGTGCAGCGGTGGAGAGGTTAGGGTTAGAGGCATGGAGGCGGACAGAGCCTGCGGAGATGCAGCTGGGTACCTACAGTGAAGCAGGAACATTAGAATTTGGAGCGAATGATGCCAGAAAAAGATTAAGTATGATCGCACTTTGTCACCTTGTTTACCTGCAGAGTCGTTTTCATATCTTTATTGTAGTTTTTAGTTCGCCATTTCCTTGGAAGTATCTTTTGTTTTTTGGGGCTGTCAAATGTAGATGCCTAGTGAACATAAGGGATGATACTGAGTGTTGAGACAGATTACTTCTTCTTTTAAGAAAGGCTCTTCATAGGAAATGATTTCACATATAACAATGTAAAATGCAGCTGCCAAAAAGTTCTACTGTAGAAGACAAATTCCTTTGCCTAAAATCCAGTCATCTAGTATTCTGGATGTAAATCATTTACTGCACAGTTTCTCAGACTATTTGCAATGACGATGAGTAAACCTGCTCTGCATGTAAAAGTAAAAGGAATCAGAAATCAGGTGCTGACCTGCAGTGCTTGGATAGATGGAGCAGAGCAGGTACGGTGGAGGACCTCCATACTCTGAAGCAGATGGCTGAGCTCCAGCAGGTAGGCCTCACACACTGACAAATCTGTGGAGAGGATCATGGCAAAGATCCATAATGAGAAAAGGAGGTAAAAGGTGAAAAATAAAACTATAAAGAGAAAAGGGTAAAACCAGGAAAATGAGCAGTGCAGCTAAATGTGCACCAACCCATCAACTGCTCCATGAACATACTGCCTAAAGGTCCAGTGACTGCAGGGTGACAAATTTAAAGGACTCAAGGTGTGTTCATAGAACTAGGGTTACAACCTCTATCATTTCCTTAAACAGACCCCATAGCTTTAAGCTGGCAATGCTTAAAGGTTCCTTCTGCTAACATATAAAACTGCTTTTGCATTCCTTCTGTAGTGCTTCCGATATATTTAGAACAGATATTTTTAGGTGTCTGAACATCAATTTCAATGATAAGTGGTGGACAATGTAAATGGCAGTCCTTCCTATGTGGCAATCCTCTGTGTACAAATGCATGACTGAACTGCAGCGTAAATAATCCCTAAATTTCTGGTTTAGAAAATCACAATTATTATCTCTTATTAGTTAGAGGAAGTGTTAACAGCACATCACCGGGATCCTAATGAATGAAAACTGAGACAAACAGTCTATCAGTAATCAGCACCATTTCCAGTCTCATCTAACTTGCAAATAAGACAGCAGGCGCGCAGATTTATTGGCAACTGAAGCGACTGGCAACAAGTACAAGTGAAAAAGCTGCACTCACTAAGGTCAGACCTCCTGTCTCTCTCATTGTCATTGGCGGCTTTACTGTAACTAGGAAGCTTTGAGTAGAACACAGACCTTTGCATGGTAACAAGCTCTCAGCTGTGGCTCTATTGTGATTAATTACATTCCTCAGGTTGATTTTCTAACAAAACAGTGATTAAAAAAGGGGTTTAGTATACAACTTGAAATTTCTAGATGTCTCATCCACCCACCAGCACAATGCATTTTAAAGCTTAAATTCACTAGGCGGGACCCTTCCCTCTGGGGTGATGGATGTTGGATGGATGAATGATATGCACAATGTTATGCTTGTGAACTATGGTTTGGGGAGGGCTTCAGAGGCCTGCGCTGCTCCTGAGCAGTTGGCAGACCCCCTGCGTAGAACAGGAGAAGGGAAATGTGATAGGAAAGGGGTGGGTTGTGAAAAGTGGAAGCATCATATTGGTTTGAAGAGGTGGAAGTAAATATGATTAGAAAAGGAAGAGCTGTGTGTTTGGGTGTAGTCCCGCTCCTGAATTAGGTTAAATCTTCATTACAAGGGCATTTTATCTCATGATGGAAATCCTAGATCCCACCAAAACGTAAGCAATGTTTTTAGCTAGCTGGCAACTGAATCTCATCCACATTAGGTCACAACTTTTTGTCATCATGCATTAAGTACTCGTAAAATTACACAAATAATGAGGGACAGTTCTGTTGCCTCACCTTTGGAGCACTTGTCCAGGTCATCAGAGGACTGGAGCCAGGCTGTTACCTTGGCCTGGTTGTTGCAATTTAAAGAATGTATTGTAGACTGCCTTCGTAGAGACATGCACTGCAAGAGCAAACAGACCCAAAGGTCAGTCCAGTAACAATTTGCTACTGGAGAGAAACCTGAAGATAATGACAGCACGCTGTGTAGTGCATGCTGTAGGTGTACCTTTCTGATAGAGGCACTTTCAGCAATACTGGGAGAGCTGGGTGGGGGATAGTGGGGATAGCAGAAGGACTTCTCACTGGGGTAAATGGCGATCTCATTTTGCCGATAGAGCCGATGGTGACGCAGCTTGGACACCCATTCATCAAACAGCTCCTGTGATTTAATCTGTAGAGCAGATACCACAATCAGTGGAAAAACACACACAGTATAAACAGTAATTCCCTCTCACCCACATATACACCATATGATATCATTAATGCAACCATTTGTTCCAGGAATTTAAATGGAATTTGAATAATTCATGTTTTACCTCACTTAATGTAAGCCTGTGGGGAACGCCTTAAATTCATTAGCTGAGGGCTGTACCTTCAGATGATAGATGTTTTCCTCTGCATCAAGATCAATGCATTTGGCTTTCTTCTTAATGGCCATGACAGACAGACCCACATCAATGCAGCCATGCAGTTTCCCCTTCTCAACCTGCAAGGCAAAGACAACACAGAGGGTACAGTGTGTTTAAAGCAGCAATAATAGTCCTTTATTTGCTCAGCCGGGCCGAGCATAGTTTCTGCATTGCTGATCTATAATTATGTGAGACTGGCAGATAAAATGCGCCATGTGATTTCTATCTATGATAAGGAGATTGGTCCTTTTGTATTTACAGGCACTGAGAGATATTCTGGGAAAGGCAGTCAACAGTACAAGAATCTTATAAAAGACAGAAAAGTGTCCTTTGAAATCTTCTGTAACAGACATATACATGTAGTGCAGCCAGCAGGCTCTTGTACTCACATCAGCACTGCACTTGCCATACTTCAGAATGCCCTTGTCCAGGAAGAAGTATCTCTGTGGGGAAAAAGAAGGACAATGAGCAAATGAGATGCAGCTGGGATGATTTGTAACATCGCTGACAGCACGTCTGAAGTCACTGTTGTATGAACATAACAGAGTCAACCTCTTTTTAAAATGTGTTGCTAATGTTGCTGCAGTGAGATGTTTGTCATCCTGGGCTCTTATTACGCCTCCTCTCACTCAGTTGCAATTATTCTCCTTTAGTCTCTTTGTAAATTATTGGTGCTTTTACTGTACACCACCAGAATCAGACTCCTGAAAGCACAAAGAGCCGAAAATCTCTGACTGTAAGTCAATACTAAACACATACAGATCTATTAACCAACAGGCCATCAGCTAATGCATCTGAGAAGAATGCCAAGATAGCTAGACAGTATCACCCCAGTGAAAGCATAGCATGAACAGTGTAATGCAACATGAGGCACTGAAGGACCTCTCAGGTACTGGGTGGATTATACCTTATGCCAGCCCTTCATGGGCCACTTTCTCTTCTTCAGCATGTAGCCCTCCTGTTTCTGGGGCTCCAGAACATTGCTAAAGCTTCCACGTAGGCCTTCCACTATTTCCCAGCTGTCCTGTGGGCACAGATAAATCATGAGAACTGATATGCTAGACAGACATTTAGCTGACATTCGACTTGTGCACACACACGCTGATTAAAGATGTCAAGACATTTAATAATATAAACTCAATAAATAAACCACATAACAGCGTCAAGGTCAGTATCAAAAGCATACTGCAATTCATGGCTGTTGAAGCTGCTTAAATGTGCTTCCTCTTTGCGATGTGGTGTCAGTCAGTCAGTCAGTGTGAGGCTGTGGGAGACGAGGGTTTCACTGCTAACTGGAAATATGGCAAAATGAGGTTACTGTATGTGTCCAGAGTGAGTGTCACTTCATGGTCCCATGTCAAATGATCTTACCTGACTACTCTCACTCTTCACAATAATAATTTCCTGAGATTAGAATGCTCAAATCCAAATCCCCAGCAAAGACAGAGATTAAGATTATATTTCATCATAGACCGATCCAGATACAGTAGCTCTGTTATGTCCTTCAGCAGCGAGAATACCAAAAAAGGCAGCATAAACAGAGTTTTATAATATCACTGGGGACTCAGAGAATATTGCATAAATTGTGGTTTATAGCTCTTTTGGTTTGTATTAGTACAAAAATGATTAATCAATTAATCTGTTGGTCTATCAACATAAAATAGGGGAGCAATGTTGATACATAGTTCAAAGGGGCACTTCACTGACTTTACACATAAAAGGTCTGTTGTCTGTTGTTATCTGACCATAAGCAGTACTACTTGCACAAAATTTGGGTGTGGTGTTTGTTAAGAAATGATGTGACGCTGTAAAGTTATTTTGGCGCAGTAGCCATACCTGGTGCTGCAGCATCACATAGTGCACTCTGGCTGTAAAACACATTTTTCTGAGCGTCACCAACACCCACAAATAATTCTCTGTATCCTCAAAACTGAATCTGATCAGAATCCAACACAAGCAAAAAAGTCTCTAAAAGCCTTAACTGGGACCCAACAGGCATCTATTTTTCAGCAGGCACTGTAAGCTTTCTTTCTCATGCACCCAGTGAGCTACTTTCACAATGGTGCCATTGGAGGGTCACATAAAAGACACCATCGAGTTGCAGAAGACGTAGGATGGATACTACACTATATGCTCTTTTCGAAATCGAAAGCACTTGAAGTTTTGCACTGTTGAATGGACATAATAAGCAAATGGAAGACATCATCTGGGGCTCTCAGAGATTTTTCACTATTTTCACTTTATAGACAGAAGAAATAGCCTATTCCCTAATCCTTAAAATAACTGACAGATTAACTGATAATAAAAATAATCATAAAGGTGCAAATCCTTGCTTATATAAATTCATTATGCTGGTGATGTAGCATTTTGGGATATTTAGCCAAGTAGGATGAAAACTCAAGCACAGATGACAGTCATATCACAGCTGTCCAGTGGGAGTGGATTCTCATCGAGGCTTGACCTGAGTGTATGTTTTAGCTCAGTGTCTCCCTGACTCTTCCAGTATTTACAGTTTTGCATAAACAAACACAGACAGAAAAAACAAGCAGACAGCCGGCCAACGGCTGGAGGGGAGAACATATAAATAAACCCTCATATCTGAGAGAGTATGGCTTGTGCACTAGTCTTTCTCTCCTTGAGGGGTCATCCTAGCTCCCTCGGTCACTGTCACACGCTGCTTCAGCATGTTTCACAAGGTCACGAGTCATGACTTACTGTAACTGACAAGAAGATATGTTGGCTTATAGGGATAGCTATCAGTATTAGAAAACTGTTAATCAAAAATGTTTCCAAAGTGGTCCAACACATAGATGAATTACTGAATGGGTCTAGTGGACACAAGCCCAAGGGCCCATGGGATCAGGGGGCCCCTGAACCAGAGCATCTGCATGAAGTGACTTTTAACATTTCTTTTTGGAAAGTCAATAAAACCACTACAAGGAGATGCAAAACATTCACAAAGAGAGGCAAAACAACTACGAGGACATGTAAAAACAACCTTAGACAAAAAATAAGTGAGTAAAAACATTCAAAATAACCAAAAAGAGAAGCTAAATGACTAAAAAGAGATGAAAGACAACTTAAAAAATCCAAAACTACCACAAAGAGTCTCTTTCATTCTGGGGGTATTAGATGTAGGATGATGGTGGCCTTGTACATGCCTGTGCCCAGGGGCTCAGTGTCTCATATTCGATCCATACTGTAGTGTACAGCTGCAGCTTTAGGGCGGACTGTGGGAAGCATTAGCCCTGTCCTTTCAAAACTAAAACATGAACCCAAAGATCCACAGATGTGTCATCACCCAAATCAAAAAAAAATAAATCTTCAAATTCTTCATCTAACTCTTGACAACAATGCTAAAAAAATACATTTCTCAAACTGCTGAACTATTTGTAATGCATATTTTCTTGAACTGAAAAATTAACTCACCATTGTTTTTTGACAGGGAGAACTGCTTAGCAGACAACTGTTTCCAAAGGTTTTTTAAAAATCTTATGATTTTATTAAAATCCTTTCAATTTCACACATGTATGCTCTGCCAAATACATTATGAAACTGTGTGAGGTTCAGTGAGTGTAAAAGAAATAAAACATGTGTGTCAGAGTGGACCATATGTTACTTCATAAATAAAATGATTTGATTTGATTTGATTTGATTTATTCTTTCAAGCATGTAAAACAGTTGATATGACAACACACATAATTTTACACATAATCCAATATCAATTTGCTTATACCTAGTACATGTTTGAATTGAGTAGGAAGAAGTCAGACTTATCCAGTCTTACCCCATGACATCATCTTGTTAGAATTGGATTTCAGAAGTTGCAGTTGTTTTATTTACTGTTAGTATTATTTTGCTTTTATAATGATAAAGTTTAGTATGACTGTTTGTGTTTCATTAACAGCACCATGTATCAGTATTAACCTGGCTCTTATGCATGCACTATAGTTATAATTTTCAGCTGCAGGTCAACTTGTA